TCGGTTTAATCTTTTAATAGTTCTATGAGGAAAATAATTTATAATCTCCATTTTGCCTCGTCCAAGGTCAGAGAGCTAAGTCTAGATGCTTAATCACCAGGCCTAAGTCTCTCATGGATTTGTTTTATAATAGATACTAACAAATTGTCCCCATATTGTTTAAAAGGTAAAGGCCCTCCCGTTGTTCCTCGATTTGCTCGAGCGGGCCCAGTAACGTGTCCATTGGAGACTTTGTTGTTACTGTGTTTGGCATATCGAATACGTCACGGGGAGCTTGCCAGGCTCTGCCGTGCGGGCGAGATACTCTCGGTAGCTTGCTGGGCTCTCCGAGAGGGGCGGAGGAATCAAACTCGGGTCGGCCATGATGGCTGCGTGCAAGGCAAATGCCCTATTGTTTAGATCAATTTATTTTCTCAGGAGCTTGACTTTACTTCTTTGCCCATAGGTTGAGCAAGCATTGGAAATGTCATAAAAGAAGGGAACTCGCGTTTCTCTTACAATGACTGAGACTGGGCATTTCCCCCATAGTTTCGTTGATATATATATATATATATATATATATACATATACATGCTTTTCTTTGGATTACATATTGATATATTTTGTGTACTTGTGATTGAGTGAATTTTACGGATTTCTTGGGGCTCTTTATGTGCTGTAAGTGATTTATAATCAATACAAATTTGAGGGGTACAAGAGTGAGATCAGTGGTCTTGAAGTGTGGGTGTCCCCGAAGCAGCCTCAGTGAGACCCATTGGGCCAACACCCTTCACCTACAGAAGGAGGTGGGTTGATCCTTCTTGTCCTTCCTTTAGTTAGATCCAAATACACCTAAAATCAGGTTAACTTTTTTCAGACATTAAAAAAATTTTTTTGAGGGGAACACACACTGATGCTCCCAGCTCTGTGCTCAGGAGTGGCTCCTGGCAGTGCTTAGGGAACTGTGTGGCATGGGGGATGGAACAGGAGTCTCCCAAGTGCAAAGTCTGCACTCGAGTTCATTGAGTCAGTCCCCAGTGGTCGGGGAGCACCTCCTTCCCCTGCCTGCACCCCCACTTTGCAGCATCAGGGATGGAATCCAGGGCCTTACACTAGGCATGTAAATGCATCATGTACCTACTTTCCCTGTACTGTGTGTTGAAGACTGAAACCCAGCGGCTTAGATGCCCACTCTCAGCCTTGGCTAACCACTGGCACTGCCTGGAGGGCAGTGCAAAATGCCACACATAGAGTGCTCCCCAGATGAATGAAACCAGAATGTCAGGACTTCGGGCCCGGGAACCAGCATTCTTTCCATTTCCCTAATGATTTCGATGCTGTCCCCGAGGCTGACCAGCAGTGCTGGAGGCTGGAATAATGTTTCTCAACCCTGGCATCCCATTAGTTGTACCCAGTGATCTTTAAAACTGAAGCTCGATGCTCAGAATCTTTTCCAGAGATAGAAATGGTCCAGGGTGGAGCCAAGGATCACTTTCAAAGAATTAGTTTCTGGGCTGGAGTGATAGCAAAGTGGGGAGGATGCTTGCCTGGCACGTGGCTGATCTGGGTTTGATCCCTGGCAACCCCAGTAGTCCCCTGAGCCCACCAGGAGTGATCCCTGAGTGCAGAGACAAGAGTGAGTCTTGAGCACTGTCGGGTGTGGTCCCCCAAACCAAAGAATTAGTTTCTTAGGTGACTCTGAATGTCCAGCCAGGATTCTAACACCTCACTAGAAATGTCAATTACTAGACATAAACTTCCAGGCACTAACAAAGAGAATAATATTGGAGATGAGGGTAAAAACAACTTTTCCTTTCCCTGCTATTTCCTGAGCCCTTGCAACGTGCCAGGCCTATTCCTACAACGATTAGGAAAATGTATCAAACATAGTTGGTGCCTATCAGGAACCTGTCACCTGTATTGGCAGACGAAACCCACACACATTTCATGTATTTAAAAAAAATGGTTCAAAAGGAACGCAAGATTGTATGCTACTGACTAGAATGGAATAAAACAAGTTGCAACATCACATCTCTGGAAGATCAAGCTAATTTCTGTCCTTTCTGGCATAAGAGGAAGAAGATGAAAAAAGTGTAGGTTGGATAATGAAAAAACAATTTTGAATACAATTAGCCATCATCCCTTAGACATTTGAACCTGGGGAAAAAAATGACGGACAAGGTCAATGACCACTTCAAAGAGTAATTCAGAGCTTAGAGGCTGAGCCAGCCTGAGATGCTTGAAAGTCCCCCCACGGCAGAATGAAGGCTGACCTGTCAATCACAGTAACATTGCCTTAAAAGGCTCAGCCGAACCTACTGAGAAAAGCTAGGAGTTAAGAAATCAGCAATGAAAGAGTTTATAATAAATCTTTTATTACTCAAAATAGTAATAAAATATGTATCACTGTAGCACTGTCCTCCCGTTGTTCATCGATTTGCTTGAGCGGGCACCAGTAACATCTCCATTGTGAGACTTGTTGTTACTGGTTTTGGCATATCAAATATGCCACAGGGAGCTTGCCAGACTCTGCCGTGTGGGCAAGATACTCTTGGTAGCTTGCCAAGCTCTCTGAGAGGGATGGAGGAATCAAACCCGGGCCATCTGTGTTTTTTGTGCAAGGCAAATGCCCTACCAGCTGTGCTATCACTCCAGCCCAATAATAAAATAGGTATTGATTATAATAAACATTATAGAATATGTACTAATTATAATAAACGTATAAAATATAATAAATTATAAAATTCTATTATACCTTTATTATAAAAATACTCAAAATATTTTTGTGAGTTTCACTATTTGCCTCTTCTAGACCAGTGTCTTTTGGGACCACATTTAAAATAAATGAAAAATAACACTTTTGGAAAGACACGGATCCCTAGATACCTTTCTTATAGCTGGTATGGACTATTGAGTTCATTCATGTTTTAAAATAAACCATCAAATGAAATACACAATTTTCACCTTGATTTTATGAAATAAAAAAGTATAGTATCTTTGTACTTTTTAACCCAATACATAAACTTGGATTAAAAAAAAGTTATATTCTTTCAATTTAACTGCCTAGTCATGCAGTTAATTATACCTCATCCATTTCTTTGTCTTATTGCTACTTAATAAAAACATGGATGTGTCATAATTTTTAAAACCTCTAATTCTTGACTTCTATATATATATATATATATATATATATATATTTGCTTTTTGGGTCATACCTAGTGATGCACAGGGGTTACTTCTGGCTCTGGTTACTCGAGAAGTACTCCTGACAGTGCTCAGGGAACCATATGGGACGCTGGAAATCAAACCCAGGTCAGCCACATGCAAGGCAAACACCCTCCCCACTGTACTAATGCTTCAGACCCTTGACTCAAAAAGATTTTTTGGAGAAAAGAGCAATGGCAAATGTTCTTGCTTCATCAGAAACAGGCCAGTGTTTTCTGAGCAAAGCCGCTGTTCCTAACGAGAGTCAAGTGTCCCTGTTTGGTGGGGTTTGGTCAGTTATTTTGGGTTCTGGGAGTGCTGCTGACTTTACATTATACAGAACAATTTTATTTATTTATTTTTAATTTTTTTTTGTTTTTTGGGTCACACCTGGCTTTGCACAGGGGTTACTCCTGGCTCATGCACTCAGGAATTACTCCTGGCAGTGTTCAGGGGACCACATGGGATGCTGGGAATCAAACCTGGTTGGCCGCAAGCAAAGCAAACGCCCTACCCGCTGTGCTATCGCTCCAGCCCCCAGAATAATTTTAGAGAGTTGCCAACCCCAAGCATAACTGGCCAAACGCTATTGAACTACTTTCATATCATATCAAACCAATAATACCAATTAGAGTTTCGGATGGGTCAAAAGGCATCCAAGGTCACAGGCAAACCTCTACTTTGTATTTGAAAGGAGGGGATGAGTTTCCAGCTTTTTGCCCATCCGGCCACTCTTCCCTCACACCCGTGGATCTTTCTATGAGGAAGCAGGTGGATGTGATCTACATGAAACAGAAATTACCCTCCACAGGCTGCGGTGAGAAATGCCGGGCTTTTCCTCGTGCCAGTTTAGAGCCAGACTAAGTTTCGATCCTATCACATCATTTGCACAGGCTAGTAAAGATGGTGGCGTCATTATTGGGTGTTGTGTGTGTGTGTGTGTGTGTGTGTGTGTGTGTGTGTGTGTGGTGGTGGTGGTGGTGATGCGGGGAATTGTACCCAGGCCTCATGCATGCAAGCCTCATGCATGCATGCATGCGCTTTACCATAGAGTCATATCTGTAACCCTACCGCCCTCACTACCTACAGGGGCTGGAAAGAGAATAGACTGACTTGGAGAACTAAAAGAGAAAATGCTTTATGTCGTCCATGTACCCTTGACCACAGCCAATGTATGTACAGACATTGAAAATCCACTGTAGGTCTGTGTGTGGTGTGAGTGGGGCCATGTCCATCTCCAGTGCTGTGGGGTTTTTTTGTTTGTTTGTTTCTTTTGTTTTCTTTTCTTTTTGGGTCACACCCAGTGACGCACAGGGGTTACTCCTGGCTCATGCACTCAGGAATTACTCCTGGCGGTGCTCAGGGGGATCATATGGGATGCTGGGAATCGAACCCGGGGTCGGCCGCATGCAAGGCAAATGCCCTATTCACTGTGCTATCTCTCCAGCCCCATCCAGTGCTGTGTTGGGAGCATGTTACAGTGCTGGGTAAGCAAGGCTGTGGTGGAAACTGGGCGAGTGACTCAACCCTTGATCCTGTAGTTCATCTGCTGGAGCTGTTCAGTTCCTAAACTTGAAAGGGAACATCTTGGCCACAGGGATTGAATCCCAGGGGTAACTGCACCGCGGACCACTCATGGCTTTGCTTTCGTTCTTAAGAGCCTGTGGTACAGCTGCCTCGGTTGGTGAGGCTGGCCCAGAGCAGGGGCGTCTCCCTGTGACCTCATCACCCGCAGGAAGTGACTTCCAGCCACTTCTGGCCGAGGCAACAACCAGCTTAGCGTGGGGGCAGGGATTGCTTTGGGCATCCCCACTTACCTGTTCAAGGTGCGTCTCCCCCCTTCTTTTGCTGTGCAACTGGAGGTAAGAGTCCATCTTTGGCGTGGGAAAGCCCAGAGTCAGCTTGTTTTTTTCCACAAAATATTGTCGAGACTTCCTTCGGCGCGGGCCACGCGAGCTGGGCTGGGAGGCCGCAGGCCGTGACCCGGAGCTCTGCAGATATTGGGACAGGTTGCTGGACTTCTCGGCCAGGTCACTGTCGCTCAGCTCTGATACATGACTGCGGCGGGCACCTTGCTCATAGCTGGGGCTTACGAACTCACTCCCAAGTAAGGAGGGCGCAGAGCTCTGTGGGGTCCTCTCCTCGCCTTTGTCTCCCGGGAGTTCCATGGTGGTCTCCTTGGAAGGGTAGAGGGGATCCAGAGCCACGTTCTCGATGGAGCTGCCCGCTGACATGGGCAACGCCTCGATCTTCAGCAACTGCACCTCTTCTTTCTTCTGCTTCCAGTTTGGGTCATAGCGCAGGTCTGAGTATTTGTCTCCTGTTGGCGACTGGCTGCCAGAGCAGAAAAGAAATGCCGAGATCTTAGTGAAAAAGGAACATTATGGACAATTCTCAAAAAATTAGAAATTGAGCTCCCATTTGACCCAGCAATACCACTCCTGGGAATATATTCCGGAGAGGCAAAAAAGTACAGTCGAAATGACATCTGTACTTCTATGTTCATTGCTGCACTGTTCACAATAGCCAAAAATCTGGAAAAAATCCGAGTACCCGAGAACAGATGACTCGTTAAAGAAACTTTGGTACATCTACACAATGGAGTGCTATGCAGCTGTTAGAAAAGATGAACTCATGAAATTTACACACAAGTGGTACTACATGGAAAGTGTCATGCCAAGTGAAATGAGTCAGAAAGAGAGGGAAAGGCATAGAAATATTGCATTCATTTGGGGAATATAAACTAACAAAATAGGAGACTAACACCCAAGAATAGCCGAGATAAGTACCAGGAGTTTCACTCCATGACTTGGAGGACAGCCTCACATGCTAGGGGAAGAGGCAGCTCAGATAGAGAAGGGAGCACCAAGTAAAGGCGGGGTGGGATGGGGGGATGGGGAGTGGGAGGGATACTGGGATCATTGGTGGTGGAGAATGGGCACTGGTGGAGGGATGGGTACTCAATCATTGTATAACTGAAACCCAAGCACAAAAATTTTTAAGTCTACAACTATACCTCATGGTGTTTCACTAATAAAAATTAAAAAATAAAATAAATAAATAAAATGGACATCTTACTTAAAAAAAAAAGTAGCTGGTCATTTTACTGGGAAGTCAGTCTCAGCCCTCTCTAGCTTTTGAGAAATTAGAGAAAACAAATGCAGCAACATGACAGACTTATCAAGAAGCCAGAAGAAGCCAGGCCTGGATTTTCGGTTCCAGAATTCCCGGAATTGAGTCATGATTTCCCCAAAGTGAGATAGCCATAGTGAGGTCATTAAAGTTACCAATCAGGTGCAGAAACGCTTGTGGTGTCTGTAAGAACACCCATTCACAGGGCCTGACTGTCCAGCAGTGAGATGTCGCCTGGCCCCACTCTTGGCCCTGATGAGTATGTCATGGGACGAAAGCCTTATGTAACCCTTAGTAACCCTTATGTAACTCTGACTTATAACCAATCAACTACGTACAAGTAGTGAAGAGCCCCTTAGACTGCAGCCAAGGGGTGGTCCGAGGAAAGTCTGTTATATAATGCTATGGTATAAAAGTCCCTCACTTTTGAGACTTGGGACCACTCGTTCTGAGAAGGCTGTCACTGTGTCAGTGAGCCGGGTGAGGGCCCGAGCTCAAACTAGCCAAAAAAGACCCTTTGCTTATCACATCACAACTTATCTTCATGTGATTCCTCTGGGGAGATCTCCGTCCAGTTTAACACTTTCATGTCCCAAAGCACATGTTAGGCTCAAATTCGTCCCATGCCCATACTCACCAGGGCCAAGAGTGGGGCCAGGTGACATCTCAGTGCCGGAGAGTCAGGTCCTGTGAATGGGTGTTCTTACAGACACCACAAGCATTTCTGCAGTGCAGGTGTGGTGGATCTTATCTCACCTGCTTTCTCAATGTTGCCCCACCTCCCAGAACTGACATGATGGGGGGAGCCCTTAGTAGCCCTTTAATTGGGTGCAGTTGCGGGGGGTGCTTTCTGTTGTCAGAAGACTGATTTCCAAAAGGAAATTCAGTGATGCCCCTGTCCCCCTGTGAATCTGGGCAGCAGGCCAGCTAAGTCAGGGTCTCCAGGAAGGGAAATACCATCTTCATTGCCATCACTGATCTCACTCTGCCCCTTCGTGGGGAGGGATGTGAGATCCATCTGGACCATATCCTTCCATCGTTCCCATCCTCCTCTCAGCGATTTTACTTCCCACTTGGCTCCCTCGTCGTGGCTTTTATCAGGGGTGTGGCTGCAAGACCCGCTAGAAACTGTTTTGGCTCCAGTGAGGCTTATGCATGCCAAGTGCAGTGGACAGGCCTACACGCACCCAGGCTGCTACGACGTTCAGGGTCCTCCTGTCCCAAGGTGGGCACACAAGTTCATCCTCACGCAAAAAGGCCCCTGACCTTGTCCACTCTTTCCCACGACAATCTCAATTTGCAGAAGTACCTCCAGGCCTTCACTAAAAAAAACGGAAAGGGGGGAAAAAAAGCTGGTAATATAGCATATTTAATGGCCCCTTTGATCTTCAAAAGCTAAATGGGAGAGATTTTCCTTCCTGGAGTACAGTAGAGATGCAATCCTCTAATCAAAAAGAAAATGTAAATCACCCGGGCTTTTTCTGCTATTTGATATTCCCGTTTGCAGAGGACATAATTTCCTGCTGGGTAAACAAACTAATGGTGGCCCTCATGCTAATTTGCTCTTCTTAATATGGACTGGCATTGCTTTGATTTGCTGGAAAGCAATGAGCAGAGTTAAAAAAAAAAAAAAGCCAGAGCCCCCATGCCCAGCTAAACGGTCACTTTGAATTTTTGGTTCCTACTTTATGGGACAACTCCTACCCATGGGCGGCTCTCCCAGGGAAGGCAAATGCCATTCTTCTCCCACGACAGACTCTGCTTCACATTGGTCAGGAACCCAGCTGTCCAGCCAGCCATGATGCTCAAGTTTCCCAGACACCAGCAGGTGAGCTGGCCCCTGGGGTGTCCCTGAGAATAGCTACTTACTTCCGGATTCAGTGTCGAGATATCTCGAAGTCCGTGCCAGCTCCCTTCCATGATCCCTTAATGAACTCAGAAAGAGCAATAATTAAGGAATTCCCACCATTAAAAATATGGTGGTCCTCTATGATGGATGGACATGGATTCCTTGGTGCTAATCCCTACAGTGACCCTAAGATAACATGTCCAGCTGGCCATCATACTTGCCCAGCACCAGCTGGTAATTGCCTCAGTCTAGGGGATATCTTGGCTGTATTTCACATTTCAGGGTATTTCATATGTCAGGGTGATGACATTTTGGGTCTGAGAAGTGACACAGCGGTTACTGGTCCTTGAACAGAAGCCAACAGTCCCTCCTTGTTCCTGCAGCTGTCCCTGCCCTGGGGTCATGACTTGATTTCCCCGTGTCTCTGTTTAATCCTTAATTCTGTGGGGGCAGTAACGGTGCCTATGCCAGGACATTGTTGAGACTAAAGACAGAATGAGGGTGTCTGTACATGCTTAGAGCCTGCCCTGCACTCAAAGAAGGTTCCAAAGAGGCAGGCCATGTGGTCTAGGAAGCAGAGCAGCCAGTTCTCTACGTGTCGTCCTTTGTACATGTTTCCATGAAATAACCCTCTGGACGGCCCTGTGTCCTGCCCAGGATCTCTGGGGAGCCTTCCCTCTCCATACCCCAAGTTATTTCCAGGGCACAAAGTAGCCTTGGGGTTCACTGAGAGGTACCGGAAGGAATAAGCACATGTCTCTGAAGATCCTATCTTTTACCCTACCCTTGGCAGAGAGTAGATGGAGAAGCTGCGGCATAAGGGATTAGGAAATGTGCTTATTTCTGGGCCTGGAGTAGCTCAAGAGTCTGGAATATATAACGCCAAAGTGTCCAGATCCCTCCTCTGCCACTTCTTGTCCACCTTTAATACCCACAGCATCAACATTCCATACTATTGGATAGAGAAGCTACTGATTGATTTATTTAGTCTTTTGGGCCACACCTGGCAGTTCTCAGGACTTACTCCTGGCTCTGTGCTCAGGGATCACTCCTGGAGGGCTTGGGAGACCCTGTGGGATGCCAGGGATTGAGACCAGATGAGCCATTTGCAGAACCAATGCCCTACCCAATGCGCCAGCCCCTAAGTAGGACATTTTATTTTTTTATTTATTTATTTTTCTTTTTGGGTCACACCCGGCAATGCACAGGGGTTACTCCTGCTTTGCACTCAGGAATTACTCCTGGTGGTGCTCAGGGGACCATATGGGATGCTGGGATTCGAACCCGGGTCGGATGCATGCAAGGCAAATGCCCTACCCGCTGTGCTATCACTCCAGCCCTAAGTAGGACATTTTAAAGGGACTATAGAATTGCTTCATCCCCCAAGAGCTGCTTTTGCTTGTTTGGGGGCACAAGAGGGCACACCCGGCTGTGCTCAAGGGCTATTCCCAGTGGTACTTGGGGGACCATGTGATGCTGGGAATTGAATCCAGGCCCCCCACCCCACCCCACCCCACGGGCCAAGTACACCCACTGACCTTTAAAAATGGATTTAGCCCAATTGTTGAAAGAGAAACTCATAAGGTATAGACGCAAAGCTAAATTCTCCAAGCATGGCTCATCAGAGCACCACCTTGGTTGGCCTGTAGTGGCCACGTCAAACACCCCAGCTCCCCACTTTCTGGATGGAACTCATATGGTGAAATAAACAAGGGTGGCATTTTTGCAAAACTCTGGGCACAGAAAGCTGTGATCCTTCACAGAAACACAGCTCCTGGTTGAAAGAGAAGCTGAGACCAGAGGGCCCCATTGTACCAAGCTTGGGCGCTCTGAAGTATGATTTTGTTCCATGGCCCAGGTCAACCCACTGGAGGAAAATGAGCGTGAAGGGCTCCTCCATCCTCTCGTCAGCACACACGCGACCCACTCTCCTGCACATGGAGAGGGAGGTTATGCAGACAATGAGGACATGACCCTTTTGTTCCTGTGCAGACAGCAGATGTCCTGTCTTCTCTTCAGAGGCCTGAGTGAGAGGTGGGCATAGGGGAAGAGGAGGGTGGGTGGGGGGAAGACCCTGAGATTTGTTGGCTCTAATGGACCCTGTATGAGTACTTACTGTGACAACTTCAAACAAAATAAAATCAAATCTCCATTTAATGAAGAGCCTCCTATTCAGTATTGCATTCAATCAAAAAATTACTAAAAATTAGAGCATGTTTCTGGTACAATTAACATCCTTTGCACTCATAATAAAATATTCAATAACTGGCCATTTTGCCTGTTGAGGAGGTGAATAAAAGCATTGCTATTAATCATTTAGCTGCTATTTATTTACCACTTTATTTTAAGTAGG